CGTATCTCGAAAAATTCATAAGGAGGGGCATTCGTAGCTCGAGGTACCACTGTAGTTGTTTGAGTTTTCTCAAAAGTGCACCCATCACTGTTGATTGATTGAGCCCATCCACTTTGTAGATGTACTTAATTAATCCCACGTGTTGCGTGCAATACATGGGATTATGAACAAACAGCAAACTATGTCAAGCTGCATGCTCTCACAAGCCCAAACAAGCACAGATTAATAGTAACCAGAGTTGATATGTCCTATAAATGTATTTCCTTGAGCTTTAACTCAGGGTGTGTGCACGGGTACGGTGATAAATGTGACCACTTTTTTTTTTTTTAAAGCCCTCTCCATTTTTGGCTTCTACGGTGCAGGCAGCTTAGTTATTCTGTGCTCCTTCTAAAGGTGGCTCCCCCTTTGCACCAGAGTAGTTATACTAGCTAAGAAGAACCCCCCCCCACACACACACATTTTCAAGACTGAGGATATATTTGATGCAGAGGAAGACTTCTAGGTGAGGAGATGGTGGGGAGGTGGGTCAGTATCTGCTGTTGCTCTAGGTAAGCTTCATCCCTCCGTTCCCACCTCTGAGTCGGCCCTTTGGGTCTGCTTCTGCCCTGGGGAGGCAGAGATGTTGAGGGCTGCTTGGTTCAGCCTGAAGGAATTCAAGTCCCTTAGTTTCTTTGTCACGCTTCCTGCAATTCTGGGCCTTATATGAGTTAACTTCTTATGTATGTTAATCGTTTGGAACTGGCTGATATATACAGTTTAGATACACCCAAAGAAGTTTAAGCATTGTATTTCAGTAAAGAAGTTTGGGGTCCCTAATAAAGAAGTGATTACCTACCTACCTACCTACCATTTTATATCCTGCTGCAATCATATACAGACTCTCAGAGGCTCACAACATCAAAAACAATAAGAAAAATTAAAAATTAAAAATATGACAATATAACACCAACAAAGTTTATTTTTGAATCTGCAGTTGCAAATGTTGAGTAGTTGAATTAATTTAAGCCAATGAGTAGATTTAATCACCCATTAACACTTCTGTAGAATTCTGAAAGAGACAGTGTGGTATAGTGGTTAAGGCACCAGGCTAGAAACTGGGAAACTGAGTTCTAGTCCCACCTACGCATAAAGCCAGCTGGGTGACCTTGGGCCAGTCGCTTTCTCTCTGCCCTAGGAAGGAGGCAATGGCAAACCAGTTCTGAAAAACCTGGCCAAGAAAACCGCAGGGACTTGTCCAGGCAGTCTCCAAGAATCGGACCCAATTGAATGAATTAAAAAAAAAAGAATTCGGAAGCAGAGGAGAACCCAGTCATAAAGCTTTCTCACCAGTCAGTTTGGCTTTAACTTGCCCCTCCAAGGAAGGGAACAATCTCTTTTGCCTGACAGCTTGTTCTTTGATGTACCTCCTCTTAAAACACTTGCTTAACGCCATCCCTCTTGGCACCAGGCAGCCTCTCGAAAACACTATAACATTTTAATTTACTTCCTTTAACTAACAGCTTATCCTCTATATGTAAGATTAATAGGAAAAGCTAACAATTCTTAGAATTAGTCCCTTCTTTCCCCATGACACAATGCAAACACATTTTGAAATGTATTATAGGTACCATGATGAATAGCCCAAGTTTGCCTGCAGGTTTTCTTTCTCTTATCACATTAAACCCGTCAGAAATCTGTTGAATTTTTTTCTGGTCCATCACTTTTTGTGCTATGCAAATGAAATCTACAAACTGATGTGTCTACACAGAACTCAGCATTTTTCTTCTGCTGATGTTCTTAAAGATGCTTTGGGAAAAACAAGGCCAATTGGTAGAGTTTGTCTGTGTGGCTTTGAAAAAAATCAGTCGAGTTTGCCAATAATACATAGAATTTTTGACATTTTTTGGAATTAATAATTTCACTTCTAGAGTTCATTAGCATAGAAATAATTCAGAAAATCTCTGTTCTGATCCAAAGGCTATATGTTTGGCAAGTCAGAGAGAAGGTTTCATGCTGCAAACTTGATTTGTATGGCTGTCCCAGCTTCCAACTAAGAATTGTTAAAACCTGAGAATGACAAGTGCCAGCATCTTTGTAAAGTTGTAAAGTTCCCAAGGTCCCTTGCGATGATGGGGAAGCCATTATGGCCAAAACCGTTTAATTTGCAATCAAGATGCAATAATAATTTGAGAACGTTCACTGTGTATTTGTGAATCTTGTCGGACAAAATTTGGAGGAGGCCCATGAGAGATAGGCCCCCTAGTCCCTATTTAATCTCTGATGGAAGGACTGAAGGGGTATACTATTTAGACAGGTTAATTGGATGCCTACGAAGATTGCAGCTAGGCATGTTGGAGTGGAAATTTTGTTGCTGGTCATTTATATGAAAGTGAAGTGATTTTGATCATTCAGTCCCTCTGGTTGGTAGAAAAGAAGGCAAGAGGTAAGGATGCCGATAGGTTCTCAGCATGAGTTGCTGCTCGGGAGTTACCACTTTCCTGTTGGAAGTTTCCTCTAGTCAGGCCTTCTTTGATCCCCAATGAAAATGCCTCTTGTTCATCCATGACGTAAGCCTGTGTGCTTTGGCTGTCCAGCCTCAAGCACAAGGGCTTGTTGCTCCAGGGGTGGGGGGTGGAATCAGAAAACTGCCCTGTGATGTCTCAAGTGCTTCTGGTTTCTCTTGTACTCCCTGAAGTTCATTTTCCTATGTCTTTACGTCTGCTTTCTGTTGTGTTGTCCTGCTCCAAAGTTGGACAACTTCTGGCTGCCAAGCCCAATGGGAAGTATTCATAGGTTCTCCTGACCCTTTCTCTAATTTTTCCCCCCTGAGGCAGAACAAGAAAAGCGGGTTGGAGGCAGAAAACAGCACAAGGGCCTCTCTGCTTATTCTTGTTTTTCACTTTGGCCCAAATTGGGCCCTAGACTAGTACTGTTTCCTTAGGCAGGGCAACGTGGGCTAAATGTTATGGAACTTTCACGTCCTTCCCACTTACACTTTGTGTTGTGTTGCCAGCATCTTTGGGACTTATGGACACCTGAGCTATCTTGGTAGCTTGCTCTGGCTGAAGAAGCCTCTCTGAGAATTTTGCTTACTGTCAGGAGCATGACAGCTCCCAAAACAGGTGACCAGCAGATGTGTGGAACCTTACTTGGAATTTCTCAGCCATCTGAGAATGTTGGGACTCAAGTCCACATATCTAGAGAGCATCTGGTTGGAGAAGGCTGGTCTGAGGTCTTTGTGCAATACACCTTGCAGGTGTTGACTCCTAGGGCAATGCGCATTCATAACACCTTCTGTAGCAATTAGGACGCCTACACCTTCTCTGATATGGAAATCATGCCATCTTTTTTCATCTGTGTAAAGGAGCTGGGAGGCCTGCTAGTGTTCCTAACAAGTATGAAAAATGCTGGCAGATATAGTTCAGGCCCTGTTTGGCAGAGAAGAGATAGGGTGGGGTTAGAAGACCTTGCCAATGCCTACCGAGCATTGGAGTAATTGATTCTGTTGGTTCCATGGCTTGGGGTGAAGCTCTCTAATGAAGCTACCTGGCAGGAGCACTGAGAGGGGGAAGTCAGGCACTGTCTGGTGGGAGCTAGTAGAACTTGGGGAGATACTCCTCTTCTCTTGCATTCTCTTGTGTAATCTGCTCTGGTGCCCAGAGGTTGCAGGAACCGAATTACAGTTGGCAAAGCTGATGGGTCCCTTCCTGGCCTTGCAAGACTCAGCTTCACACCCTGCAATTAAAACTGGCCATGGGTCAGGTGATGAGACTCTGGAAAGCTGCTGCTGGCTGTCTAAAGTGGCATGTCATTTATTTATTTATAAATCAAATTTATACACTGCCCATCTCACTATATAAATGACTCTAGGGGGGCTCAGAAATAAAAGCCATAAAAACAGTTAAAAAATTACAAAAACAAAGTTAAAAGTGGAGAGAGCATCCTCAAGTCACCAGCCATGCCCAGTGCTGCGAACCCCCATTGGATCCCCAAGCTAGTCAGCAGAGTCAGGTCTTAACGCTCTTCCGAAGGCCAGAAGAGTGGGGGCCAATCTCACCTCAGGGGACAAGATATTCCACAGGGAAGGGGTGATGGCAGAAAAGGCTCTCCTCCTGGACCCTGCCAGTAGAGATTCTTTAGCCGATGGGGTCCATAATGTGCCCTTCATGTGCCCTTCCTGCTGGACTGGGTGGGACGGGCCGATGTAACTGGAACAAGATGGTTCCTCAGGTAACCTGGGCCTATGCCATGAAGGGCTTTAAAGGTCATAACCAACACCTTGAATTGGACCCAGAAGCAAACTGGCACCCAATGGAGTTTCCGCAGCAAAGATGTTACATGTACCATCCTAGGGGCACCTAATATCATCTGTGTCGCTGCATTTTGAACCAGCTGTAGCTTCCAGATACTCTTCAAGGGTAGCCCCATGTAGAGCGTGTTGCAGTAGTCCATATGGGAGATGACCAGGGCACGAGTGACCGAGAGAAGGGCTTCCAGATCCAGGAAAGGGTGCAACTGCCACCCAACGCACATTTCATGCACCAGCAGCAAATGCCTTCCTGATCTGCTTGTGAGCTTCCCAGGGGAAATGGCCTTCTACCCATGGGCCGTGGTACCCAAACTCGGTGGCCACTTTAACGGTGCCATTTCTTTTCCACCATCAGCTCTAAGCAATCTCTAATTTCATGAAGGGTGTGCAGGCCCATCTCAGTGGTTAGTAAAACAGTTGTGATGGACTGGAATGGAGGAAGGGGGGTGAAAATGGTGCTCTCGTCTCCAGAGCAACGCTCTGGAGATAAGCGGAGAAAGCTGGCAAATCCCTAAACATTCCAGAAGATAGTAGAGACGTGTGCCTGAGAACTGCTGGTCAGTCTGAGAAGATTTCTGTAAACAGGTGCTGGCCCTTGCTGATTGAACCTGCATGGTCTCCAGGAGTTCTTTGGGCTAGGCCTGACAGTTGTGATCCTAATTCGCTTTGTGCAAATGCCTCTGTGGAATAGACTCTGTGTTTTTCCTAGCAGAGAGAAAGAAGCTTAATCTGATCATTCTCTTCACATTTCAGGGGAACAGTTTGCTGTGTTTCGGGGCTTGGACGGGAAAGCGTATGTTATGGATGCATACTGTCCACACCTCGGGGCCAACCTTGCAATTGGTGGCCACGTGGTGGGCAGTTGCATCGAGTGTCCCTTCCATGGCTGGATGTTCTCTGGAAAGGATGGGAGTTGCACCAAGATTCCATATGCTGAAAAAGGTGAGCGGGTGCTTGTGCTAAGGGGAAAGCCAGAGAGTTTATGCCCAACTGGACAGGGTTGGCTTAAGGGCCATTGTGTCCCAATCAAGAGTTCTCCTGAGGATCATGGAGGGCCTTTGTCAGCTTGGAGGGAGTAGGCAGTGTCCACCTTCTCATTTTGACTCTCCAGAGGAGAAGCTGTCTCAGTCCCCAGGTGAGCAGGGGGACCAGGATGGATTTTGTTCCTCTAAATTCTCTCCTGAAAGGGTAGCTTGTGACAGACCCCCAAATTTGGGGCACTATTTTATTTGGCTCATTTTTTTTAGCATTATTACATTGCTAAACCATTTCAGTCCTCTTTGCAGTGTAATCACTGGGTCAAATTAATGAATAAACTCTTGACTGACTTGATGTTAGTTTGTATGCACTGATAATGGAAAATCGGATACTCAGGGGATGGTAAGTCTGTAAACACACCTGCACTGTCTTTTTACCTTGTCATGCTTTCTGTCTTCCAGTACCTGAATTTGCAAAGACAAAAGTTTGGCCATCATGTGAAGTTAACGACATGATCATGGTATGGTATCACTGTGATGGCTTCAGCCCAGCATGGCAAGTCACCGAGCAAGAAGAGCTGTCATTGCACAAGTGTGTCTTCCGGGCTAAAACAGAGCACTTTGTCGGCGCACACATTGAGGTAGTTTGCACGAGCGTGCTTTACTGAGTAAAGTCAGCTCCTTTGGGTAGTGACTTTTCCAGCTGAACCTGGACACTGGGGATCCAGATGGCAGGGTAGGGCTGAATGGGAGAGCTGGCAGAATGCAGACAGGCCACTTCGGTGGTGCTTCTGGCTCTGGTTTGGAAGTTAGATCCTCCCCCCCCAATCTTTGATGTGTCTTACACAGCCACTGGGTAGAAAGAAGAACGGCTGTGTGTAAATGCGCCTTCCCAATTTGCTCTGTTAGACGCTCCTGTTCCTTTGCACTCTGAAGGCCTTTCTTTGTACTTGGGGAAGTGCCTGCTGCCGCTTTGTCTCTTGCCAACCGGGGCCCTGGCTCGGTAGGTGAATGGTTCTTTTTCCTCCCCCCAGGAAATTCCAGAGAACGCTGCTGATGTGGCACACCTTTCCTTTCTCCATAGTCCCACGGTCATGAGTGGAAATGACCTGCGCTATACGGACAACTGCCGCTGGGCATTTTTCAGGCACAGCTGGGAGGTAATGCACCCCTACAGGAATAGCTTTGCCTGGAGCAGCTTCAGAAATCCCACTGCCACAGCTCAGCAGCCAGCAAGCGGTTCCAAATCTTTTTCTTATTGCCCCTGGTGGACTGGTTCATTTTCTGAAAGTCACGGTGTCTGGGCTGTGACCTGTTTTTAAGCAGCTTTAAACACGTACGGGGGTGGGGGGGAGAGGGACCCAATGGGCACCATCCTTGAAGCCCAGAAACAAAATTAAGTGGAGGCAGGGACGGGCAAGGGGAGCAAGGGATAACTGGATAAAGCTGTGTATGCTCATATGTTTGGAAGGAAAACATTGACCCCCCCCCCATTACGCAACATACCTCAGCTGCTGAGCAAAGAAGGACAGGGGCGAAGACTCACTTCTGTGTCCTAATGGAAGGGATACTGCATTGGATCCAGTCCCCCACATCTCCTAGCTGTGGATAAAAATAGGTCACTGCTAATAAGAAAGCATGCATGGGTTTTATTGTAAACAGGGGTAGTGGAAGTGAAAAAGCCCCCTGCCTTCTGATTACTCTTTGCAGCATGCATGGGGAGGTGAAATTTATCCTGTTCCCTTTCTGGCTCCACATTATTTGTTTCCTCCTGCTCTAAATATGGGTAACGCTAAGGAAAAAAAAAGGGGGGGCTGCCCATTTGGGCTGCTTCTAAGCTCCAGAGATCATGTCAGGGCTTGGGGGTGGGGGGAGGTGAGGGGCTTTGATGCCAAAGCGTGAGTGTTCCTGGCCAACGTAGCGCTTCTCTTCCAGGCGGAGTGGCAACCAGAATCGGAGCCCACCAGCCACTGTTCCTGCATGCTTCTGACCCACCGTGCGCTGCTTTTTGGCAAACACTTCCCCTTGCTAGATCTGCATGTTTCAGCCAGGCAGGTACGAGCCGTGGGTTCCAGAGGGAGGAGAGGAGGGCGGTTCGTCCCAAGCCCAGGATTGGATGGAGTGCTGTGTGATGCTGAAGGATGCATTTGAACCGGTTGCCCCTCTCTCCCCCCACCCAAAAAAGTGGGAAAGGCAAGCTGTACACTTTTGGCCTGTCAGCTTTTTTGTTTAATCCTTGTCTGGTTTGAATTCAGTTTGAAGAAAAAAACGTACTCTTAACTGAGGAGTTCAGATGGTTGTGTCTTCTGCCATTCAGGTGGGTCCTGGGTTAGTTTTCATGACCTTCAACCATGCTTTCCTGGGCAAAGGGTTGATCGTTCACAGCGTTACACCTCTAGAGCCTCTTCTCCAGCACGTGGTCCACCAGATATACTTTCCGCGCAACGTGCCATCCTTCATTGCCAAGTTGATCCTGTGGGCCGAGGGTGTCCAGGTGAGGGGAGCTGCAGAATGTGGCACTGGGGGGCAAACTTAGCCATGCGCCAGTCAGCACAACCTCCTGGCCCCTTGGGGCTGCTTGCCTTTCTTCCTGCTTCTGCTTGTTGGACAGGGGAGTGCAGATGTTGGGGGGGGCGGGTGACAAGGGTCTAGGTAATTTTGCCTTCCAGAAAGTCTTGGGCTTCCTACATCCGTTTCACTGTTTGGCGTTTTGTAGATACCAAGCAGAGTAGAGGCCAAATGCATTCCATGTTTCTACAGCTGCATTTTAGAGTATGAATGTAAATAGAACAGCGTGCAAAAAGGGGGGGGGGACCCATGTTCTTGCAAATTACCCTATGATTGAGGCACCACCTGCTTATTAATTCAATAAATAAAATAAATTTGTATTTTATTTATTAAATTTATATGGCTGCCCATCTCACAAAAAATGACTCTGGGTGGCATGCAACAATTAAAACAATAAATATATAAAAACAGTCATTATTAAAAATGTAAAAAAAATCCCACAAGGCACAAGAGTGAATGTTAACCACTGTAATGGAGCCATCTCGAGATCTCACTGGTCCCCTGGGATCCCCAGGCCGGATGACATAGCCAGGTCTTGAGGGGCTTCCGGAACATTAACGGGGATGGAGCTAAGCTCACTTCAGGGGGGAGAATGGCAGGGAAGGCCCACCTCCTGGGAGCCGCCAAGTGTAGTTCCCTAACAGATGGGACCCGCAGCGTGCTTCCTCCGCCAGATCTGATGGGACGGGCAGATATAATCGGGGAGAGGCGGTCCCTCAGATAACCGGCCTCATGCCAAGAAGGGCTTTAAAGGTTAAAACCAGCACCTTGGACTCGGAAGCAACTGGCAACCAACACAGCTTGTGGAGCAGAGGTGTAACAGGTGCTGTTCTAGGGGCACACATAACTGTTTGTGCCACTGCATTCTGCACCAGCTGAAGCTTCTGGATACTCTTCAAGGGGAACCTCATGTAGGGTGCATAACAGTAGTCCAGTCGGGAGATGACTAGGGCATGAGTGACCATGAGCAGAGCCCCCCGATCCAGGCGCAACTGGTGCACAAGACAAAGCTGTGCAAAGGCCCCCCTAGCCGTGACGGCCACCTGCTCTTTGAGCAGGAGTTGTGAGTCCAAGAGGGCCCCCAGATTGTGCACCACATCTGTCTGGGGCAGGGCTACCCCATCCCGCACCAAAGATGGCATAGTCCTAGAACTAGTCCTAGAACATAGTCCTAGAACATAGTCCTAGAACATAGTCCTAGAACTAGTCCTAGAACCCTAACCCAAAAA